ATATAGATGGCTAAAATGCAATTGTATACCAAGTTTTATTTAACTCAGTTTAACTCTTGAAGAAGTTAGTAAATCAATGAGATGGACGAGATGTGGCATCTTACTTTTGCATAAGCTCTTTTCGATTAGACATGTACAGTTTAAATGAACTGCAGATGAAAAGTGGGTGACGCTATTTGGTCATAAACAATATTTACTCTTTATTCATAACATATCTCAAGGACTGTTGAAATACTTGTTTGATGCAGTCTAATAACTATGAATGTGATGCATTAACGTTCATGTATTTTTTTTGTACAATCATAGTATAATTATATAGGTGTTAAAAAGGGTTAAATGTATTGAAATGAAAATTTAATGACTTGACATTTTGCTGTCGATCCTTTGTTGGAAACATATCCTGCATTCTTTAGGGATAAACACTTAAGTTTAATGTCCTTAAATTGCAAAACTAGATATGCAAGATTAAACATTATGACTTCATTTTATGATCATACTCTCTTATCAAAAGTGATACCATTATTTTTTTTTATAATGCAAAAGGCGTAATGTAACTTTATGTATAATATTTTAGGCAATTGCTAGCCGTTTCCTGTTTCATTCAAATAATTGGCTTTTGAATGTAAATGTACGTACAGGTTAGGAATGGAAAAAAAAATCCAGCTTTCAAACATCCTTCAAGTTCCTGATGAGAGAATCCTACTTTCTCATCTCAGTTTCTTTTTTTTTTAAATACTACTTCTATCCACCAGATTCAATCGTGTTTTCGATGGTCCGTGTGTTTGCCTGTTCGCATTTTGTATTGTGTACAGGATTTATGACTTTTTATATATATAAGCTGTCCATTATTTTGCCTTTTTGAAACCCTTTCTCATCCTACATGTATAATCTATTTCTCATAATGTTGTGAAAACCAATTTACAATTACTTTTGGATTTCTGTCAACGTACAGATAAACAGAGAGATCAGAATGAAAAGTATGTCCTTCCAGTTTACTAGTAGTGTCGGATGTTATCATGATTTTGAATTAGAACATGTGTAAAACCAATTTAATATTGTCCACTGTGAACACAGAGTTATTTTACTGTTTAAATTTTCTAATGTTAAACTGTAATACTCACAGATAAAGTACATGTATTTATACCAAGATTTCTATATTTTTTGTGAAAATCAAACTGGTAAAGGACGAAAAGTCATCTTTAAGCATTTGCTTAAAGATGGCTTAAAGGAACTCAAAGGAAAAGTTAATTTCTTTAAGCCAATTTAAGCCACCATTAAACTACAGGTTTTACATTTCAACAACTAAAATTCACGAAGTCGTCCTCAAACCATCCTTAAGCCAAATTAACGCAATCTTTAAGCCATTTAAACATAAAGCATTTGAATCCTGCTATTTTCTTATTTTAAAACTGGTTTTCTTTCGTATGTCAAATGTTCCTCATTAGGCATACTGTAATCTTTAATGAAGATTTTGAATAATCTAGTAAATCGCATGTTTACATGCATTATTGTATTATCTTGTTTTGACATCATTATGTACTATTCTCTCTCAATATTTTTGATTATCTATTTTCTGCGGGTACAACAATGTATAAGAACTAAAACGTCGTATATGTTAATGATCTATATTTATCTGGGCGGTAAATTTTCCTTCTGTCATAAACAATTTTAACAATTTCGTTGTTTAATGTCTTTTTAAAAAGTTTTATTTAATAAAAATACTAAAATCTTTGATCCTTTCCTCGGTGTTACTTTAAGTTAAAGAAAATTTGAAACAAAGATATTTTTTCTTTCATTTGATTTTCACAAGACTGGTAGATTAAAACACAACAGGAAGCAGGGTGAAATAAACGGTGTGCAGAAGAGACCTTGGTGTCAAAACCGCAAACCCTGAGTCTCTGCTCAACTAGAAACAATAATGCGAGGGTTGTTCGAAAAGTTCGTGGACTGATGCGATAAAATTTATACTATGTAGTCTATGCTTACAAAATTTTTAATGAAGATAAAACAACAAAAGTTAAAGAAATGCTGAAAATTTTAACTTGATACCTTGAATATTTACCAAATTATCATAAAATAAAAAAAGACATTAAATGATCACCCGGCACTGTCGCCATTTAGTTTCATGACGTCATTGTTTTTCAATGTCCGCATTCTCTACCTCATAAACTTATCTTGATGAGTTTCCTTGGAGTTAAGCAAAGATTTAAACCCGTCTTGTTTATATGACTTTACAATGTCATAAGCAGCTGATTTCAATGCATATAATATTGTAAATAGATCTGAAAGATCCCCACTTGATTATAACAAGTTGATTATAAATGATTATATATATTATATATTTGCTTGTCGGAGTTCAACATCTATTACACATGATAAACGTCACTTTTCAACGTGATAAACTTTGAACACCCTTACTACAAATCGACATTAACTTTTATATCTCTTGTCTCTCTAATCTTTTTCGTCATTTAAAAACAAGTATATACTCTGAATGCATTTTATTTTTCAGTAGCCCATTTAAATATTTCCTAGGTCTATGCCAGTTTTCCAGAGGGTGAAATTTTATAGAATGTTGGAAAAAAAAACAAAACCCATCCCCCTTTCTAACGTCATTACAACCCATAATTGTTTGGACATTTCATATAAATTTTACGATAAAATTTCATAGAACTTACAGAAAGGCGTAATAATAGCAAATATTACGGTACAATTGTGTCATGCCACATAGGTGAATTAACGGGATTTTTGAATGACAAATGCTCATATCCAAAAAAAAAAAAAGAAGTTTTTTCTCAGTTACACTTAGGTAGAAAAAATGTAATCTTCGAGGTTGCGCCACCTGAACATATCATTGCTTTCAAAAACATCAACAATTTATTAAAAAATAAAACTAATGATGTATAGTTTATTATGTAAATAAAAAAGATGATGTTAATTAAACGTTAAAAAATTCATCGATGTATCTTAAGCGGTTTTAATTTTATGGCGCTAGTCCATGAACTTTCCGAACAACCCTTGTATGTTTCTATGAACAGTTCTTTTCAAAAACCAAAAAAGAGCAAGTACATGTATATAACAAAAGAAAGATTTACAGTGTGTGCAATAAGATTATTCATCGTGATATAAAAATAATTTAAATCGATGAAAATATCGTTAAAGAATAATTAGAAAAAAAAATATGGAAAGAAAGTCAATGTTACTACTCATGGAGAAACCTGAATTAACCAGAACTATATTTTCTTTACTCTCGACAGATATCTCAACTGTAAATATTGTGTCACATTTGTCGACTTCTTAAATCTGTGGTATCAATAGACGATTCGCGATAAGACATAATAAATATAAAATAAGACTAAAGCTTTGTAACATAGTTTATATCATACCAAATTCTTTAATCATGTAATTCTCAAGATGTATCTTTATATATATATACGGGTATGTTAGTCGTAGTAAGCTATGTGATGTGAACTTTATCATGACGATTTCTTAATATTTATTTATTTCAAGATTGATTTCAAGTCCTAGAAATAAATAGAAATATACAAAACATGAAGTAAACTAAATCTTGTAATTATTTTGATGGTATAAATAACGAGGTCCTTGTCACAGGGGTTAAATACCAAACCATGACATCATAACTGATGATCAAAGAAAATGAAACGGAACGAAATTCATGTAAACAATGAACCGAAATGGGAGTTAAAAACCATATGCATTGAATATCATGTGTGATTCATAAGACATTAAAACTTAAGAGTCATGTAAGCTTATTTATTTTCATCATTATTTTCCTTATAAATGAAGACGAGCAGTGTTTTGAAAGCCAAATCAGTCTTTTCTCTTTTGTTTTTAACGACAAAGATGGAGAAGCTAAACATTGAAACATGATTTTTGTCCAAGAGTCGGTACCGATAGTTTAATGCCCAAGCAACATTAAGGAAACTCTTAAAGGTAGCTTTATTTCGACTTAAAGTCTGTCTCGACGACACCTTTAAGCACTTTTAATCCATCATTTAGTATCCTTCAATCTAACTTTTATACTCCTTTAAAGTTGGAGATGGCCTAATGGAACTCAAATATGGTATACATATGATTTAAGGATAGTTTAAGGACGCTTAAAGATGACGTAAATCTACCTTTAAGCACCTGTAATCCGGTTTTATCCCAAGTATTTTATTTTGTGCATACGCCAGAATGTTTCTCTCCCTGAAAACGAAATGCAGAATACTGTTTAACTGGTTAAGTATAAATTTAAAAAGTGGAATTGCAGTAGAAATTATGAGGATGTAAATGCTAAGTAGCAACAAATACGATCAAAACAGAATTAAGATGGTTTGTCACATTTAAATTCTTAAAGTCCTTATTTTACTAAAACAGAAACTTTATCAAGGAAATAATTGAAAACATTTTTAATGTAATTTTGCTCTGGTTGATAATCAGTGGTTAAAGAAATAAATTTTTGTAACCTACCCAAATAAAACAAAAGGTATTTCCTTGACGAAGAACGATGAAAAATAAAATACTAGTTCACTTTTTAAAGAAACACATGATCAGTCTTCCAGTACACTGCAATGGTTAGATCGTTACGGTATGACACCCAATCATATTTATTCTATGCAGTAATATTCACTATGAATTTATCAAAGAGGATGCTATATTTATTTTGTGGAATTCTAATTGTAATGGTTGTGAACATATTTATATCAACAATTTCTTTGAATTCCCGTTATCCTTTTATGAAGCAGAACTTCTGGAAATACACCGGACAGTGTGTTGAAAATATTAAAGTTTCCAGTCATAACGCCTTCAATAGAGATTTAAAGGAAGCAAGAGAAGAGACGAAAGAACAAACTTTGTTGAACCTATTTGACATTGGTCCACAATTCCGTGTATCTTACTCTCCCTTATATCGAGAAACCATTCCAGATCTGTCGATAGCAAATATCAAACATGTCCCAGAAGCTCTCAACAACCAAAGGGAAGTACACGGAGTTAGTTGTCGACTTCTCTTTCAAGGTAATATTGACGAAATCCAAAAAAGTATTCGAATGAAAAAATCTACAAAATCAGATTCAATCAGGAACCAAACAAGGGATTGCCAAAAGTTCGTAAAGACCAGAGGATATATTACTGACTCCTTATTTGAGGAAGAAAAGATGTTTCCCATTGCTTACAGTATAATGGCATTTAAGAGTCCAGAGCAGTTTGAAATTCTTCTCAGGGCAATTTATCGACCACAAAACATTTACTGTATTCACATAGATAAGAAAACATCCGACAGTATTTTCGAAGAATTTTCAAGTATAACGAGATGTTTTCAAAATGTTTTCCTAGCTTCCGAGAGAATATCAGTGCAATGGGGAGGAAAAGGTGAATTAACACAAGAGCTGGTCTGCATGAAGGATTTGTTGAGGTACTCCAAATGGAAATATCTTATTAACCTAACAGGGCAAGAATTTCCCCTTCGTACAAACTATGAGCTAGTGAAGATTTTAAAAATTTTCAATGGTTCTAATGAAGGCGAAGGCATTCTTAAAAGGTATGTTTAAAACTTAATTGTTTAAAAATATGCATGCTTAATTATAATATACAGTTATCCACTGACTGATTTGGATAGATCTTTTATCAAACCCGCGACAGGAAATATTTTTTGAGAGGAATAGTTCCTGTCAAGATCTGTTAAAGAGCTGTCCCACTTACAGCCAGAGGATGCGCTCTTTTTTATAATGATTTATTACTATAATTTGAGGGTCGGATAGCACTTTTATCCGTTGCAATATAACGTTGTGGAACTCTTCAATGTTGGAGAAGTTGCTAACCAATCATATTGCAGGAAATCAACATTGGCTGCAAAAATTGAATAAATATTTTTCAAGTGTTGGATAGCCAAAGCCATACCCTGGTGTACACATTGCTGTTCGTGAAAATATTTGTTTTTCCTTCTAAACTTTTAAAAGGAAATATTTAAACAGAAGTATACAATATTTTCATCTTAATTAAAACACCGAACGATGCCAAATTGGTGAAAACAGTTCTTATTCTTAGCATGTTTCCTTGGTCTATGAAGCCAGTTATCTTCACCTCAGAGAGAACAAAAAAGGACCATTGATAATTTTTTTTAAATTTTAAAACAAGGAATAAATCATAGTCAAAATGCAACCCACTGGGGGAAGTTCGGCCCTAATTTCCCAAAACTTGAATATAAATATTTGTATACCATTATGATATTATTAATGGCACCATCCTAAAATCAATTTGAATACTGGAACTGTTCTTTTTTCACGAAGTCATTATATGGCATAAGCACCTTTTATGTAATTCTGTTCAATCCGCTAGTAGAAAATAATTTTTTTTTTTTTTTTTTTTTTTTTTAATAAAGATTGCTAACACATGCAAAAGTCGTTAATGATAATCTATCAACAAAGCTTTATGATAAACGTGATGACTGCAACTTTTCTATCATCAACTTCCCTTACTTATGAAGCATTATACCCTTTTCACCTGCATATGGGTTTTATGTCTCCCAGTTCATTCGAGACGCAAGAGAATGCTCTACGAGCGATCAATTTTTAAAACGAGGCAAGCTATTAATCGACAAGTTGATGAAACAAGAATATCAACAGTCTCGTTTGAAGTCATTATATCGCAAGTTTTATGGTCGATAAAATGACCTTATCAGCAAATACAGTCTATCATTAGGTCAAATGCTGACTGACGTTTTTCATACAAATTGTTAGGCCATTATTTACACACTGAATTTCTACGGATTTTACCGTTTACCCGATCATGACAAGTAGCAGATGGCGGGTGTGACCGGTCGACAGGGGATCCTTAGTCCTCCATGGCACCTGATCCCACCTCTGATGTTTTTGGAGGTCCGTGTTTGCTCTACTTCTGATTTGTATAGTTTGAATCGACTTATTAGCTTGAATACTGTTCGTTATCTCCATATTTCATGCATAAATGCACTTTAAGTACGCAGGGACAATGTTCTGCGGAAAATGTTTGACCGCAAACATAGCGTAAATTAATTTTTATTACATGTTTACCCCTTTATCCCGTTGATATCACTCATTGGATGTTTTTTTCATATCCCACTGCTGTGACATCACAATGGGTTTTGCTTGAAAATGATAAAGTAAATAGTGTGGATTCATTTATAAAAACAGTGTAAAACATTGATGTAAAAAATAGAAAGAATCCCCCATGCTTTGTGGTTGGATATAATTTTTGTCCAGCTCGTTGTGTGTTTTATCCCCTCGTCAAGTCTCGGGGAAAACACACAACTTGTTCTATAAAAAGCATATATAACCACAAATCATTTTAGATCCTATAGATCACGCGGAAAAAGTGCTTCTACAGTATTTAGTTTAGCTCCTCGCTGACCCAATGAGCCATGAACCAAATCATAAATCTGAACTGCATTAGAATTCATGGTTTTAATGTGATTGTTACACTGTTCTCTTTGAGAAGAAATATTTCAAACGTATTTTTCATATATTAAATGTAAATATTTGAAACCTAAATGAGATTTAACCTAAATCCCAAGACAATGCTTTGAATAACTTGACATTTTTTAAAAGATTTATTTTCATATATATTACCATTTAAAACTGTGATCCCTTATTAAGACCCAACCTCACTCCCATCGCATCTGGAAATAATTTGGTCAATCCTGAATCTGCTTTTATGTTAATTTGGTTAATCATTGCCCTGGAGCTCTCTATAAAAAGTTTTGCTGCATATGTAAATGAAAACTTATATATTTGTTGCCTTACCCTTATGATCTGAATAGAATTGATTTTGCACTTCCTCACAATGTGTGCATATTAATACAGTAAAGTTTGTCTCCTCCGGACTCTGAGTACTTCGGAATTTTGTCCATTTCGGCTATAAATTTTAGTCCCATGCACTTCTTTAACAAATGTATTATAAAAAATTCTGAATACTGTCTATTCTGTATTCCGAACGGTCAAATTGATCCCAACTACTCATAATTAACAGTAACTATTTCCTCTAATCCGGCCGCGCAGAATTACTTGAGTCACTTCAATGCAATTAACACCTTTTGTGGTAGATGTGCTAACGTGTGTTTACATAACTGCATATGTGTCATTAGACGAACTGAAACGCAGCTGTGACACAACCCACTTGAAGAAATATTAAGTAACAAGTAGATTAAAAAATGCTTACATATTTAACTTGCTTTCAACTCAATATCACACACTATAACATCAATGACAATATAGGTACACGATTTACAAATCAAAAATATAAATCGGGATCGAAACTCAAACTTCTTATTTCAAAATGGTGCCATAACATTTAAGGGACTACGTAAATGTTTACATAAAATTTGAAATGTGGATTCAATAAGTATCAAATCGTAAATAATTGTGTTTATGTTTATTATGTCTGTAGATTTTGACTCCGTTAACATTTCACGTTGAAAGTCTCAAACTTTGTGAACGAAAAAGAAAAATTGACAGTAAGTCAAATCTTTTACTTTTAAATAATTTTAGACTCCATAAATATCAAATGATTTTGTCATTTAATTGTATTTTCCCAAAATATGCATTGTCCTTGTTAATATAACAACGGATATAAATTTCCAATATATTCCTGCATTTTTCCTGCACTTCGGATTCTGTCTAATCAGGCCAAATTTTATGGAACCGTTGGTGTCCGGTTTGGACAAATTATACTGTATTACAATCAAGGTTTTGCTATTCGGAGAAGAAGATATTAAAAATCATTTCTTTCATTCCAACGGAAAACATTGATAACCTTTTGTATTTAAACCTTACTGTGGATCAGGATTTGAACAGAATTAATCTTGTACTAGCAAAGATGCTACCATATAAATTTTACTATTTATGACCCTCATGTTCTTGGAAGGATATTTCAAACGATTTTCCTGCCTATATTCTTATATATTTTTTTTATACACAACTTTGATCCCCTCATATGGCCTTAGCCATATCTGGGGGTGGGGATATTAAAAAATAACTGAACGTACACTACGTCATGAAGCTTTCAATAAAATGGAAACTTTTTTGGCTCAAGGATTCTAGAACTTAAAAGTTTTGAATAACTTCCATTTAACATTAGCTCTCAATTCATGATCAGCAAAATATATCGTGATTTTATTTAGAAATATGATCAACGTTTTATCAAGTAACACCATTTATTTTCATCACAAAATTGGTTCGACATATTCCACTGAAATGGAAGTATAAGATACAAAAGTTTGTAACACATCTGTTTCATATTTTGTTTTTTTTATAGCAAACCTCTGCTAATAATTTGTATTGTTTGATTTGGCTTTTGAGCATGATTGCTGTTTGATATCAACATTAATTTTCAACACACTTTACTCGATTAATAGAAAAGCTGCTTGAAACAATGTCATTGAAATTTACCTTCTTGAGTTTTTAATTTCTAAATTAATCCAGAGTGAACAAAGACAGATGGGCTTATGCTGGACAACCGCCACACAAGATCCGCCCCATTAAAGGGGCAGTGCACGTGACAGTTAATAGAAAGTTCGTAGAATATGCAATTAATAATCCTGTTGCAAAAGACTTTCTGGCTTGGGTGCAGAAAACAGGACCTGTTCCTGATGAAACTTTCTTTCCTTCTTTGATCCACAACCCTCATTTAGGAATCCCTGGTAGTTTTAAAGGTAAGGTAGAAAGGCTTTTTAAATATGGCTTCTTTAGAGTAGAATATAAAAAAGGGAACACAGGTCAATTTTTTCATAGCAGGAATATTACAAATATACAAATTTTATTTACTACACAAGTCTTAATTTTTCTTTCATGAAAATTGTGCTCACTATTTCAATTGTAATTATAGATTATCAGCGATATAAAAGTTCTCGGGTTGTTTCGTATATTTCTTAAATGTGACTAGTACTCGTTCGCTCTGTTGTATCATTATTCAAATATTTGAAATCTAAAGAGGATATAAAGTATAGCAGTACATTTTCAGGACAAGTTGAAACAGATTACTCAGTGAAGAAACCTTTTCTATCGCGATTTAAGAGCTGGAGTGGTGCGCCAAATTATTGGCCTTGTCATGGTTACTTTGTCAGGGGTATTTGCATTTTTGGACTCGGAGATCTCCCACTTCTCGCCCGAAGACCCGAATTTTTTGCAAACAAGTTCCACATCGACCACGAGCCACACACCTTGCTTTGTTTGGATCAGTTACTTTTCAATAGGACAAGAGATGAATATTCAGGAAGATTGCAATTTGAAACAGATTATTATGAGAATTTAGAGTATATAAAAAATGTGGTTTAAACAAAGAATGTATGGATAAGATTCTGGTATTATAAAGGAAATTTATGAATGGTTTCTTCAGTGAATTCAACTAAAATATGAAGTTTTACATTGTTTGTATTTCCTTGATATCAATTTATATATATGTCGCTTCTATTTTTAGTATTAAACCCAAGGCATAATATCATAAATACATGTACTTTTGTATACATGAAAAAGTTTACCGTATGTGACTTATGTTTATTTTTAAAATTTAATTAATATCTGTGATAAATGTGCATTGATTATAACAAATTCAAAATAGACTATTTATTTGCTTTGCTATGCTTCACAAAATTTATTAGACAATAAATGTCATCTTCAAGAAAATGTAGTCTCTCCTCAGCTATGTAAAGGAAGGAAATGGGAAATGTGTTCTATAGTACTTTCTAAATATGTATTACTTTTAATAATCTGTAACAAAGTAACTGAATAATGAATATGAGTAGGTAAGGTAATAAAGATATCCATAATGAATAGGTGTGTGTCGTACATATATACAGTACAAGTTTAATCGCAAGTATTAGCTGTATGTCACGAGGTGTATAAAAATACAATTGTTAAGTTGAACATGGAAAATGACGCTAGTGCAAGGGCATACGCATCATTTTGAACATAAAAAATGATACAAATTAAAAGAGATTTACATCGTCCACTTGAAAAATACTGGAAGCTAATTTGTTCTGTTTGAGATGTACTCGTAATTTTGCCGAAAAATGCTTGCAAAAGCTAAAAGCTATGTTATGCATACATGTATATATAATATTATACACACTATAATCAGCCCCAGCACTTTTAAATTTATACATGCTTAAGCAATTTTTATATTCCATATTTCAACTTATACGGTCAAGTCTATGCCCTTGTACTTCTGAGGTTAATTTATCGTTTTAGCCATCTTTACATTCTCTGTTGCTGTGCAACTCCATAGCGCCTAGGTAAATGAATTATCTATGCAATTGTTTTTAATGAATGAATTGCTTTTAATTAACTAATAAGATTAATAAATTGAGGATGATTTCATATTTAATTGATCATTTTTTGTAATTATTAAACCAATGGATCCATTCCTCTTGATCACTTGTACTGCTCAAGGCAAGGCTAGTGACGTCATTTATGACACAAGATTTGTTTGTATTACCCGGCAGTGTTGATATCATATCGTGAGATTTTGAATGTTTTTATAAAAAAATGTATCCAAGTTGTTTTTGCGTATCATCATGTGGATAAATTGATTTTGTTACTTCTTAGATTTTATAGACGTCACAATAATATTTACATGTACCATGCGGTGCATTACAAATGTGAATTAGTAATATTCATGTATTATATGTAAATCAAGTATTATTAACCTTTAACCAAACTGTTTTTTGAATGGACATATTTTTGCATCTTATCTTTTTACTTGCTATTGTTAACATATTTTCAATAAGAGTAAGCATTAGGTTTTGAGATAATGTTTGAAACTATGTTTCTAAAAAAGTGTTTTCACTTTAAAAATTTTTTTAAAAACACAACAGAAGCAAATACTCCCTTTTTCCGAGAAAAAAGGCTTATACATCTTTTTAAGGGTTAAGCAATAACGGAGAATATATTTTTTTGCTTTACCTTGTGTTTGGATATGGTGTTTTCAAAAATTGTTTGAAAAATACAAGTTGAAAAAAAATTATGAAAGAATTTGGAATAAAGGAGAACCTTTCTGGATATATGAAGTCATTAATTTGTTATATTTTTAAGTTTCAAACAGAACAAGCCTCAAAAACACTCATTTAAGGGGTTATTTTCTCTAAGAAAAAAGTGTCCGAATAATGATCCCCCTAGAAAAATGACCGGGGGGTCATCGAAAAATGACCCCCTAGCCGTAGAAAAAATTAATTTTTTGTAGAAAAGAGCCCTAGGGTCAGTTTTCTTCATGTGCAACTATAAGAAATTAATCCCCGTTGAAAAATGACCCTCATCCCAACATCTAGTGACACAAAGTTCAAAAGAGATGATTGATCCCAAGGCTTGGATCTCTACGGGTAATTCTCTTACGTTTTTCTGATTAACACTAGACGAACATGCAATAAAAATTTGTTTAAAAACATTATAACATTATATGTTTCTTTTTATAAGAACTATTGTGTTCTCAGCTCAAAATTAAAATCGCACAATGGATACGTCAAAGTGGCTTTTGGTTAAAGGTAAGCCAGGACGATATATTGTTATCGCTTTACGTATTATTATGTTCGAATATTTTCTCGGACATGACTTGGATAAACTTAATGAAACGTTTCAGAAATGACAATCTGCAACTCTAGATGTTCATGAAATATTTTCATTTTTAAATCTGACCACCGCATTGGTATTGACATTACCTATTCGAATAGGTTATATCACTTATTCGAATAGATTAATAGGTGATATCATCTTTTTGAATTGGTGATATCACCTATTGGAAATGAATAGGTGATATAACTAATTGGAATTGATGATATAACCTATTTGAGTTGAATACGTGATATCACCTATCCGAATTGATATAAATTTTTTTTTGTTTTGAATTGGTGATATCACCTTTTTGCATATCTAATAACATTAAAAATGAATGCTCCCATCCTGAAGACAAACTAGCTTCAATACAAAGTAAAGAATGAACTTTCAAAAGGCTTTCAAAAAGCAATCTTATTTCTTTTAGCAATGATTCTAAATTGATGAAATTGATTTTATTACTCTTGCGAAAACTTTTTAAAAAAGATAAAGTATATATGGATTTTCTGTACTTAATTTAGCATAATCGCTACTATTTCGGCATTGCATTGATCAAATAAACTTTAGATTCTCTGTGAATTTTTTTTGGTTCAAAGAGGAGAGGGGGCACTGTTTTTAAATTACAATGTTTATGTTCTCAAAAACGACCATGAAACAACATGGTTTGCATATGAAAATGATTTCTTTTGACCCTTAGCAAATTCGGGCTGCATTTTCCCCCTGTGTTATAATTTAAAACACCATTTGTTTTCAATCCCTGTGATGGTAAATAAATTTCACTTGCAGTTAGTTTTGCTATATTTATTGAAAGGTTCTCTCTGTTATAATTATCTGTGTGAAAAAGAGACTGATTTTTTACTTCCTGTAAAGAGTAAATTTATGCACTTTATTCTTGGGAGCAGTTATTATTAGTCCCTACCGGTGAAACCGGAGGGGACTATAGGTTTCCTCTGAGTCTGTCCGTCCGTCCAGTCGTCTGTCTGTCTGTCCGTCCGTCTGTCTGTGTCTCTGTCTGTCTGTCAGTCTGTCCCACTTGGTTTTCCGCACTTTTTCCTAAATGCTTGCAGATATATATTGAGCTGATTATTGGTATATGAGTGTATTTTGATGAGTTACAGATCAAGTTTGCATTTCGTTTCGCATCATTGATTTTTGACGGAATTACGACCTTTTCAATTTTTAAGGATCAGCGATTTTATTCTAAACGCTTGCAGATATTGAACTGATTTTTAGTATGTCATTTTACCTTGATTACCTATAGATTAAGTTTGCATTTCGTTCCGCTTCAATGATTTTTGACGGAATTATGGCATTTTCAATTTTTAAGGGGAATCAGATTACACTTGCCGGTAGGGGACTAGTATTGCTAATGCAGTATTCTCAGAATGCTTGTTTCATACTTAATTTGAATTATTGATAACACCTATTCAAATAGGGGATATCACCAATTCAAAAACTGAATAGGTGTTATAACCTTTTTCGAATAGGTGATATCACTAAATGGAGGTAAATACCAAAACGGCCCTTCATACTATTGCTTGCAATTGAATACATTCTAGTCTTGATACTTATTATCATTTGTTTCATATTTCGATATTTTACTGATCATAGATGTTTATGGCAAATTAACAATTGGGTTGACTTTAGAAATCTCTTAACCATCAAGTTATTCTTCTTATTTTAATTGTAAGGCACTTTTGCTATATGTCCGAAAATAACATGCATGTACATTATTTAAATCATTGGTTTAAATAAAGGCATTCGGACGCAACGTAATTAACAGGTAGATAGACATTATAAGCAATTCTCTCTCTCTTTCTCTGGATAGTAAAACGAAAATAAAAATATTTTTTTAAACAATGATCGATACATAAGTCAAACAAGAATGAAAGCATTTCCATTTAGTGTTCATTGATGTCGATTAAATTTGTCAATTTATAATAAAGGACATTTGAAAGATTTAATGAGAACAACAGATCATTGCGATATCTTCAATTTGCCTCAAGTGAGCATTTTCATTTAGGGCCTTCTTGATTGATTAATTCTTGATTTTTTTTAATCCCCAAAAACTTATTTCTAATAAAATCTACCAGGGGTCATTTTTCTTCACGTACAGTAGGGTATGCAGATTTTAAGGGTGATACCACGTTTTCTACAGGCACAAGGGTCATTTTTTGACATCGAATAATAACCGGGAGTCATTTTTAGACGTCGAAAAATGACCCCCATTCATTATTCTACGGGGGTCATTATTCCTCTTTACACCGCCTCCGGTTGGAGGCGGCGAATTCCCATCAGTTTTCGTAATGGCGCCGGTTCTTTTTATTAATATGAAATATTACAGAATCACAACATCTTCTGTTTATGTTTCACTGATTATATTTGCAAGGTATTGCAATTTAGCTTCACTTTAATGTATACCAGTGATTTCATACACTTATGACTCCGGCCGTAACGCCATGCCCTTGATACAAAAATAGGTCAGATATAATATTTAGATTTAGTGCTAAATTTTATTGATGTTGACATTCAAAAGGTATTTATTATTTGAAAGTTCAACCACCTTCACAGATTGATCAACCATTTTACGGAAAACTAAATAGTGTACCATGTCTAGATCTGAATAACAAAAAATATTAGATCTGCATCTTTCATAAGGATCTTCTGAATTTTTAACTAATTCTCCCCGGACTCTTCCAAAACCCTTGAAATCAGTCAAAAAATACTAGAAAATTGTTTGCTGGTTAACAAAGAAAAAACCAGCAGTCCTTCTCATCCTACAAAATTCTTTCTCCCAATGTCGTAAAAACCAGTTTACAGTTATTTTTGGATATCTGTCAACGCGCAGATAAACAAACACACACGAATGAAAATAATGTCCTTCCAATTTATTGTCGGATGTTACAATGTTTCTTTTTGAATCAGAAAAAAAATGTA